GGTGTGGGGCTCAGCCCCAGGCCCAGCAAGGGCAAAGCCAGGCTCCCACCCCAAACACCCACCACCCGTGGCAGCTCCCACCCCCATTTCCCTCTCCCCAGCACACATTTCCCTCTCTCCTTCATCTCCCTGACTTGCTTAAACAGGCTGTTATATAAAAAATGTACCTAAGGTTCAGCTTTGCTTTGGAAAATTCACTCTGTGCAGCCATTAGTACTGGTTCTCTTCTTTCTGCATTTTAGTCTTTTTCTGCAAGGTGATGATTTGTTCATAAATGTCAATATTTACACTGGAATTTTACAGGGAAGCAGCCATGCTACAGAGCATGGAAAACCCCAAATTCTTCTAGCTTGAGGGGTCTGGAAGGATGATTTTGCAATGCTGAGTGACTTGTCTTGGTGAAAACGAGACTTTATTTGTTGGTTGCTGGTCCTAGTCACCTTGATAAAGTTTTATGATTGCACTGATATTCAGCATGATTTGAATGAATCCAAAGAGTAAGTTTTGCATGAGATACTTTAAATTTTTCCTCATCTCGTGATTACTTTTATCCCCCTCACTTTTTCACTGTTTTCTTGCTTAGATTAGAAGGCACCTTTTTATGATGGTGTAGTTGATGGTGTTTGCAGAGTGCTTCAGGTTCTACCATTTATGCATTAAGGCTTTAGAGAATGGTCTTTGGCCAGTGTTTTGCAGATGGTCAGTCAGTTATTCTCTTCTGCTTGTCGATCTCAAGACAGAGAGTACAATTTAGATTATACTGGACAACAAATGAGACAAACATGCTCTGTAATTAACCCTCTTCCGTGTTGATGAGCAAAGATAAGATTGAATCAGTGGTATTCTTCATCCCTCATAAATATAGGGTTAAATATTACACTTAATAGCCTTACCACAGTAATGGTTAGTGCAGGAAGACTGAAATCAAGTTTTTGTAGCAGACCTGTAAATGTGGAATTAAGCTTTTCCCAGCTTTCTTTTCATGGAGACTCTCTGTAGAGTCTCAAATCTACCTGTTGCTGCTACTGCAGCTGTTGGAGGAAACTACCTTAACATAAGCTGAAAGAAACACTTTTTTTCTATTTCTTCTGCTATTGCATCATTGTATTACAGAACCCATCAGCATAGGAAGTTGTGAAAGCCAGAAGCATAAATGTGTTCAAAAGAGATTGCACACATTTGTGGACAACAGGTTCATTCATGACTATCCAGCCTCATGCAACTTCTGGCTCGGGAAGTCTGTACATCTCTGATTACCAGAAGAACAGAGGGTGGCTGGAGGAAGGACCATGGTCTGCTGGATGTGTTGCTGACAGTCTCTCCCTCAGCATCTAGCTCTGTCCCCTAGCAAACAATAGCTGCAGAACAGGGGGGTTTGAGTCCAATTTGTTGTGGCCATTCTGTGCCTGCTCGACAAGACATACAATTTAACAAAAAATTCTGATAGGGAAGTTCCTTTATATATTCAATTAGGCTCATTTCAAATAATTAATAGTGGTGTCAATATCACAAGTATCAGATATGTAAGACAATGAAGGGATGCTTCAATAGGCCCATGGCACGGAGGGGCTGGGGGGCAATAACACCTTCTGGAAACGAGCTGGATCAACGTTCTCAATCCATGTGCTTCTTCAACCAGTCAATGTATTTGGAAACCCTTGTGTAAACCCCATAGCTGCCTTCCACAGCACAGCCCTTTCCCCAGCTGACAATCCCAGTCAGAAACCAAGTGTTCTTGTACTTTGTAGCATGAGGCCCACCACTGTCTCCTTTGCAGGCGTCCTTCACGCCGGTCAGGTCTCCTGCACAGAACATATTCTCTGTAATATTTAAATCAGTCTCCTTTTCACATTCCTGTGTCTTTACACGTGGCAAATCAACTCTCATCAGAACAGAAGAGGTGGCACCTCCATCTAGTAAGCGTCCCCACCCGCTCACTGTGGAGAACTTGATGGAGGACAGTTCGTGCACCGCAAACCGTTTCTCTGGCAAACATATTGGCACCACGTAGTCGGTGAGGTTCACGGGTGTTTCCAGCCTCAGGAGGGCAATGTCGTTGTTGACTTCTCCATACGTGTATCCTTCATGCAGGATCACCCTGGAAACTCCACTTTCTTGCTCAGTATTCTCCTCGTGATTAATTTTGTGTTCACCTGGAGAAGCGATTAATCGCAGGTCATGTCAGGAAGCTCCTCGGCGGTGTGAGGAGGTGGAGGGTTTCTAGTCTGACACCTCTTAAAGACAATTCCCTTACCCTACCCAAGCGTGCACATTTTGTCTTTGATTCATCAGGAGGAGAAGCTGCCACCACAGCCACAGCTTGGTGACCCGAGGAGGGGGAGATACTCACCCAATCTCACCCGGAGCTCTTGGGGATCAATGTACTCCAAGCAGTGAGCTGCAGTGACCACCCACTCTGGGGAAAGCAGGCTGCCACCACACTTTTCTCTCTGGTTATGTATTAGAAGGGCCTGCCAACATAAAGCAAATTTCTGTCTTGGTACATCAAATGGGCTCAGCCTGGCTCTCAGCAGAGCTGGGTTCCACATTGCTTCTTTCTGTCACTGGACAATACTCTGCTGCTTGCATGGAGGATTTAGGAGGGTGACTCTTCCCTTTGACATTTTCTCCACCTTGTAGCATGGGCTCTGCCTGTTATGGCCAAGCTGCAGCTAAAATTCTTGCTGGCAGTAAGCTCTAGGACTAAAGGGTCAGGAGGTAGAGTGGGTTGTATTATCACTCCTCTCCTAGGCAAGCAGAGCAAGGTTAAGATGCTTGATTGAAATGGATCTGCTGGCTATGGATGAAGAGGGGAATTTGGTTATCCAGAACTGGCACTTTTAATGGATTTTTAGCATAATAGATTAAAAACAATTAGTTTAAGGTAGTGTTTTCATATGTAAAAAAAAGAAAGAATGGTTTTTGAAGACTCACTTGCCATGGACATTCACCTGGAGGGCAGATTAAACCACCTACTATTCTCCCTCGTGCAGTTGCATTATTTTTTGCCAGCACTTGTATTTTTCCACATGGGTATTTCACTGGAAAAAAAAAAAAGAAGAAAAAAAAATGCAAATTGCAGCCAGCGTGATTTTTTTGCTTTGAGTTCACAGCAATATGTGTAAGGTCTTCAGTCAAGTTGTGCTGGCTGAAAAACTGCCTTCTTCTCTGGGAGCTTGGGCTCTCCAAAGCAAAGGAGCTCAGCCTGTAATTAGGCTTTTTGTCTGGAAAGAGCCACAGATGCTGTTGCAGAGTGCAGGCCTATACATTATCCTGGATGGATATTCACCTGCTGCTGGAGTTTGCAGGCAGCATCCCTGCCTAAGATGTGTGGCAACAGGCTGCAGAGCAGGAGTGACTCTGGCAAGCTTTGTGGTCCACCTATTTTCAGTACCCTGCTGATGTAGAGTCAGTTGTGCCAAGGGCAGAGCATCCTCTGCGTGGTGAGATACAGGGTCAAGGGTGGGCCCTGCAGCTCACTACCCCTTGTTTTGGGTGGACCTGAAGATCTCCTAAGAGCAGATACTGTGTCTTTTTGTGTGCTTCCCATCAGACTGTGCCTAGTTTGCTTGGGTCCAGGGCATCTTGGATTGTTCCTGCCTGCACCTATCAGTCTATGGTCATGTGAAGACTGGCAATAAGAGAATTGAATCTTGAGGACTGAACCATGGCTGAGCTTCAGTTCAGAGGAAACCTTGGTGTTTTCAGCACATCCATCACTCAGCAGGATTTTCCTTTCAAGACAGAGTTTACCTTTGGGGGTGTCTGTGTGCCACGTGGCTGTGCTGGAACTGAACACACCAACCCCACATCTGCCAGGATGCTGTGAGGAGCACTTGCTGCCTATCAGTTTGGGAGCCAGGCCCTACCTGAGCTCTGCTGACCTGAATCCAACCTCCCCATGGACCCCTAACTGCTTCAGCTGATACACAGACAGCATGAAGCTTCTCCAGCTACAGGTGGGGTATGGAGGAACAGTATGGCACCTACACACATTTGTGTCCAACACCTGCTCAGCACTACAGCTATTTTGGTCCCCAAGAAGCAACCAGCAACAAATACATCTTCCTTGCAGGGGAAGAGATAAAGCCTGTGGTGACTATGGAATTCTTTGTTCTTGGCTTGTAACCAAAGCAGCTCCCCCATCACATGATATTGCAGAATCTGTTAATAAGGGATAAGCACATTAGTGGGCTTTTTTTCTTTTTCCTAATGAGGTTGCTGTTGTTGAGAGCTAGGTTGTCATTATCAGTTCTCTGCATGAGTGCTCTGTTGAGGTGTGTGTAAGGGGGGGCATCACCCCTCAGAATTACTCTGCCTGCTCCCTGCAGTGCTGGCCCTTATGTTCCTATCCACAGGGGTCTCTTCTTCCCCTCTAATAAAGTAATTCAAGCAGGCATCAGCAATAGAGTCAGGTGCCAGCTTATGGATTGGAAAAATAATTTCCTTGTGCTATTCTCCTCCCAGCTGAAGTTTACTGTGTCAGGTAAGTGAGAGAAATATCTGGCCATAGTGTCTAGAGGAATATCAGAAGTGTGTTAGTCCTACCAACTAGGAAAAAAAAGTAAAAAAAAAAAGAAAAAAAAGTTGATTTTCTTTGCTCAGCCTCTTCCTCTCTTGCCTCCTGTCCTGAAACAAATATGGTGATAAAAATCCATAGTCACAGTTGCAGATTGGAGAGCCAAGAGCAAAATGGTGCTGTCCCCAAAATATTAAAAAAAAAAGAAAAAAAAGTTGATTTTCTTTGCTCAGCCTCTTCCTCTCTTGCCTCTCTAAATATGGTGATAAAAATCCATAGTTGCAGTTGCAGATTGGAGAGCCAATAGCAAAACAATGCTGTCCCCAAAATATTTTCCCACCATGGATGTAAAGTAAAACCAAAAAGGATTTGTGAGGCTCAGAGCCTCCCCACTCACCAGAAACCCCTCAGCCTGACCCCAAACCCCTGACTACCTGTAGACCATGAGCTTGTCTTCACCTCTCAGTTCTTCTCTACTACACCAGGGGTTCAGCTCCCTCCTTACTCCCAGCAGATGCAAAGTTCAAACTCAAATTCCCCCTGTGCCAGAGGAGTGGACCTCTGGGTTGAGGAAGGAGAGGTCCAAAAGACTCCCCACTTTGCCAGCTGCTTTTCTGGGCTAAATTCCACCAGAAGCTGAAAAATACTGCTCTGAACTCTGTCCTTGGAGAAGAGGTGGGGAGCTAGCGCCTGGGGCTTATACCTGAGGTGTGTTGAATACTTTTCTTCCAGAGCTGGCTCAGATTTTGGATTGGGCCAGTCGTGGCTTACCTTGGGGAAGGCAGGACACACCATCCCTGGCTAAAGTGTAGTCCTCTGCACAGAAGCAGACTCGTTTCCCAGCCTGGCTGTCAGCACAGTACTGTTCACAGCCACCGTTCTCATAAATGCACTTCAGCGTCTCAGCTCTGGCTAAGGGCAGAGAAAGAGCATTTGGCTTATCCAGATGGGCATTTTGATGCTTCCCAAGCTGCAGCTTGGGAAGCTGACAGGGGAGCAAGGCAGCAAAGCAGATTTCTGTGCCTTAGGTGCAACAACTGCATCAAAAGCACAGGTGTTATAGGGAAGGAAAGGTTGTGCTTAAGAAACATCCCCCTAAAATCGAATCACTCTGCATTTAGTTAGTAGCTGAGCTGCCTAAAGGGTGGAGGTGGTGTAATTTTGAGGCAACCATCATCACACATGGCTGAAAAATCCTAACTCTTGCATTTTGCCACTTGGCAGAAGGATGCTCCAAGAGGACTCTTGAGACTACCTGGTTAGACTTGATGAGTGGCCAGCCCTTGGTTGGGCTCTGAGGACATCAGGCTGACACTCAGTGTGCAGTGCCCACTGAAATCAGTGGAAAGAAGCATGCTGACTTCTTTAAGAGCTGCCTCTGTCCCCTCAGGCTTTGCACAATGTGGTGTAGTTCTCATCCACCTACTGAATCAAAGTAACTTCAGCACTTAGGTCAGGAAAACAATTCCTCCTTTCAGTGCACAAAAAGCAAGTGCACAGGCCGTGTGAACAGCAGCTCTCAGGGCTGGGATGATGCAGAATGATACTGGTTGCTATTGTTTATCTCCATCCCTTGCATTGGGCTCAATAACAGCAATTTTACTTTGCAGAACTAAGCCAGAACTAACCTTTTTCACAGCTTTTGCCCTCGTATTCCGAGGGACAGCGGCAAACGTAATCCTGGAACTGGTCGTCGCAGCTGCCGCCGTTCTGGCAGGGGTTGGGCTCACACTGGTTGGGGTCTGTGGAAACATTCCCTGTCAGTCTGGCTCACGTGGGGAGCTGCAGCTCTGGGGGTGGTTTTGCAGCTGTTAGAACGTCCCCACGGGTCATACCGGAATAGATGTGCCAGAACTCTTTCTGGAAGAGAAAGATGTGAGACTTAATTAAAGAAAAATAGATTCCAGTGAAGTCCTGCAGCCCTTGTACAGCAGGAGGGGTTACAGACAACCACAGTGACCCCCCTTCTGCCTTTGTAATTTATGAAATGTGATGCCCACAAATTATTTTACAGTATTCTCTACATTCTACACTATTTTCATCTACCCACAGAGAGGGGCACTGTGTAACACACCCAAACAGGTCACCCATCAACAACCTCTGCAGAGTTGAGGTGGGATTGACTGAAACAGATGCTGCACAACGCCATCATTTAAGGTTCTGTCAGGCCAGGAATGAATGGGGGGGGGATCAGGGAGATGATTTAGGGAGCATCCACTTTCCCACCACCCTCCAGCCTGGCACTGCCTGGGGCAGCCCATGCAGCCTGCCCTCCTGCATCTCCCTGCTGCTGCATTTCTCCCTGTAAATATAAAAGTTGCAAACAAACAGCAGGACAGGAAACAGGTTTTTTGGTCTCACAAAGTGTCAAAGCCCACCCTGAGCTGGGGGGGTCCCTCTGCCAGGGAGCACTCACTCAGCCCTGTGTCACTTACTGTCCTCTTATCATCGTGGTAAATCTCTCTGGCTTCCTCAAAGGAACACTTCTCTTCCATGCACTCTCGCTCTAGAGACCCACGTTTTATCTCCTCAAAGAAGCTGTTGGCTCGTCTCTGCCTCAGCAAAACGCTGCTTGCCTCCTCCTGCTTCAGAAAGACTGGAAAACAGTGGCATGTTGTGTCTGTCCCAGGGCCGAGCTCGCCACGCAGAGAGGATGGGGCAGGATTTCCACCCAGCACTTTTCTGCTTCCCCAAATTTTTCTCAGACACTTTAGAAAAGAAATGTATTAATGTAAAAGCCTCTTTTTGTCTGGCCTTCCTCCCAGGGGAAGTGGCAGCACGTGAATTGTCCAGAGCCTGCTGCTGAAGAGAAGATGGTGTTACCCCACTGGTGCATGTCAGTGCCTCCTAAGGTCCCCTTGGACATCACAGAGAAGGTCTCAACGTGCACAGCAGAGTTTCCTTCTGTTCCAGCAGCTGAAAAGCCTCTCTTGCTTTATGGCAACACCTGATTTTTCTGTCCTCACTACAGTGAGTCACTTGGTGACAGATGGCCACTGTCACCCCTTCACCCTGTCATGTGTTACCAGTCACCCCTTCACTCTTTGGACCTGCAGAAGGGACTCACCCCTTCTACCACAGCTAGACCACAATTTTAAATCCACTGCTTTAATATATTTGCCTTTGAGGACTTCTTTGCTTGAATATATTTGTCTTTGAGGTCTTCTTTGCTGTATGTCCTACACAGAACAAGTCTTCAAATAATCCATTTTGTGCTGTTTTTTGTTGAGTTGGGTTTTTTTCTCTCTTTTTCTCCTCAGTGTCATTAGGGGATTCTGGAGCTTCCTGGCAACTTACATTTCAGCACTTTTATCTGTTTCACATGGGATTGCAGGTAGATTTGGGGAATTGAGGCTGCCTTTTCCCTAGGACATTCTCCACTCCATGACCCCTGACAGAGCAGGAGTTACCTCCTAGCTGCTGGAAGGGCCCTTGGGTGGTTGCTGCAATGTGTCCTCACCAACATACACACAAACAAATACTGAGAGGGTTTATTCCAGTCTGCTGAGGTGTCTCTAAATATTTGTGTCTAATCAGAACATTTGCTGAATTATAGGCAAAATAGTGGTCATTTCCCCCAGATTTCTAAGTGACTTGAAGGAAAACTTGTGGCACCCATTGAATTCCTCCCAGGGTGCTTCATAAACATTCACTCACTGTAGGAATGTCAGCTGGGTCTTTCTGCAGGGATCTCAAGGTCAGGCTGTGTGCATTTAATGTGGCTTTCTGTAAAGGTCTTTAATTAACCTCACACTGGGTACATGAGACAGTGCACAGGCACAAAGTCCAGCAGAGGAGTGTGCTGGGGACACCCTCCCACTTTTATTTCAGCATTCTCCACTTATTTACCTTGGAATGCTGTTGACTTTGCTACTTATTTTTTTTCTAGCTGTGTTCACTGCACTGCAGGAGACCCAGTCAGTGGCTAACTGGGAACCTGAAAGCACTGGGTTTGCTTTATTCATTTGGGAGATGATCTTCAGACATACTGGAGCCACCAAAGAGCTACCACCTCACTGCTGCCAACACAGGGCAGGTCTTCACCTCTTTAATTTCCCAGCAGCTGTATGACAGACTATTGATTCTTGCCTTGAAAAGATGCCACAGTTCAATATGAAATAACAATAAATCCAAGTTGCTTTTTTTCAGGTAGTGGGCAGACAGGTCATGGTTTGCCTGGTGTCTGTGCAGTGAGGTGATTGATAAGCTCATTTAGCAGTCTAGAGGTGCTTTTGCTTAGTTGGCAAAACAGATGCCATCACTGAAAGCAAACAAAACCCTTAGAGTCACTCACAGGCACAACTGGAGGCGGGAGAAATGTGCAACAGTGCTCAAAACTTGCCATGAAAATTACATCTAAGTTATAGGAGAGAGGTCCATTGCCAGAAACATAATTACAGCCATATCCTACGACATACCTGCATCCAGAGAAAGAGGAATCAGCAGCAGCAAGTGGAGAAACAGAGCCATGCACTGCCTGGAAACCATGATGAACCCTGCGAGCCCGCGTCCCGGCGGGGTATTGACATTGCAGCAAGGGCTGTTTGGCCAAAGAGCTCAGCTTCAAATGCTCCCAGCCAGAGGAGGGGCCGGCGAGTCATGGAAACAGAAAAAGATCCATGTCACTCCAGTGAGCTGAGCAGGACACATGCAAATCCTGCAGGGTGTCCTTTCACAGGAGCAGGGAGCTGGGTTTGGTGCACGCTCTCCTGACCTGTGCAAAGGCCACGCTGGTGCCAGAGGCTGCTACCCCACACCTGCCTTTTCCAGCCTTTTCCAGGAGAAACATGAATGCTGGGACCCTGTGTCCATATGACTGGATGAGTTGGACCATGTAGCTCCACATGGAGAGCTCAGCAGTGTGACATTTGCCTTGAATTGGCAGTCAAGATATGGCCTTTCCATGCTCAGGGGTATGATCGAGCCACTGTCACCTCCCTTTTCCCATTTCTCTGTGACCAGCTGAAACTCTGCACTTCTGGCTGAATTTACTTGGAGACACTAATTAACCAGCAAGAGACTCCCTAAATGGTTTCTCTCCATCTTTCCTGCAAGACCCATGTGGCCTGCATGAGTTGTAGCAGCTGGAAGAGGTGCTGAGCTGATCCACATTACACTGAATTACTAATGACAGTGGTTTGAGGAGCTGATCTGCAGACAATGTTTTGTCTGGAACATAAACAGTCCTCTGATTTAATAGAAATCAATTAATGGCATCAGCCTCGACAGCATTCTTGGGGAAATATTTACTCAAGATAGCAGTGAGGTAAAGAGCATGTTTGCCTATGGGAAGCAAAGGGCTGCCTGAGGGCTGGAGCACTTTCCAGGCTTGGTGGAAAGGAAGGAGGGTCAGCTCTGCAGCTGAACACCAGGGCCAAGAAAAGGAACAGCTGGATGTTTACACTGCTGCCAACAGCAGAAGCTGTGATGGCTCAGGGAAGCTGGGCTCCCAGCCCTTCTTCACGGGAGGTCCTGTCCTTTGGTGGTGGTGCACATAGCTCAGTGTCCTGCTTTGAGATTGCTCTCCCAAAAAGGGGCCATCGGGGCTCTGATCTGGGTCCCAGCCTGGCTAATTCCCAGCAGCCCCATTCCTGGGATGGCTGAGGATGGGTGGCAGGTCCTGTCCTGGGGCAGAGAAAGGAAGCCAGTAGCTGGAACACCAAGGAGCTGCAGCAGCCCCACACTGTCCCCATCTCTGCTCTGGCACATCTACAGCAGCAGTTTGCTTTCTTGTCTTCTTCCTTCTCAGTGTGCAGATCCTGAACATCCTTTAGGACTGGTGCAGCGTGTTCCTTCTCTCTTCCTTCCTCTGCTACACACTTTAAACACAAAAGATTTTGCTTTTATGGCTTGGGAATACAGCCAAACACCCAGTTATCACTTTTAGAGTCCAGGGAGAAGCTCAAGTGCTGGGAGCAATAGTGAGTTCATAGGGGGACAGTCCTTCCCAGGGAAGTTCACAGGATGAGGTGTCCTCAGGGCTGACAGGGAAGGCTGTGCCCATGAGGAGGGTCACTGGGAATTCAAGTCCAAAGGGTTGTCTTTGGGAACTGGGAATGAGGAAGGTCACTGGGAATTCAGCAGTCCCAAGGACTTCATGACAGCTCTCCACTCATGAAGTTCCTATTCACAGCTCTTGTCTCAAAGCTGTTTCCCACTAACTTCAGGCAGGCCAGTTCTCTGGTTAGAGAGTGAGCTGTGTTTTTAAAGAGCTCCCCTTCCTTACTGCCCTAGAGCCCAGCCAGAGGAGCAAGCATCACCTCCTTACCTTTTCTTCCCCACAAGATCTCCACGTCTTGTTTTGTTTTGTTTCTTGTGTGGTCTTGCTGTAGTTCATGAGAACTGCCCTGGTATTCTGCTCTGTAAATCCCCTTGCCAGTGCAGGCTTCAGCCTTTTCGGAGCCATTCCAAGAAAAATAATCTGCTGTTCCATTAAAAATTAATATATATTAATGTAAACCTGCCCCCCTGCTGCTCACGGGTGCTACTGGCATCAGTTTGGAAACAGCTGTCCAGATAATATGATTTAGGGCATTTTTTTACTGTATGCTTTGGCTGTGACAAGGTTGTTTTATTTAAAAATAAAGTTAAAAAAACTAAACGTTAAAAATGTTAACAATATAAACCAAAACCTCTAAGGCAGAGACATTAGCCTGGAAGACATGAAGAACTGATTTCTCAGAACATACCATTCATTATTTTTGTTTTGTTTCCTACTGACATTTTTTTGAGAAAAAACTCTGAACAGTTTTGCTATTTTTAGTTTCACGTTTTTGGGTTGAAGAGAACACAGGAAGCTGTTGGGAATGGCACAACCTGATCTGATCCAACAGGTCATTGAAATATGAACCTTCTAGTCAGCACTCAGGAACAATTTTAAAAACTAAATCAATGATTTCTAGTTCAAAGAGGCCATCAGGGATTATTTGAGTAAGATGACAAGGCTGTGTCTAGGTAAGAATGGTTTAGGAGCAACCTGCCTCATGAGTTTGTGAGGAATTCAATTTAAATATCCAATAATAACTTGAAATCATTCATTTATCACACTAATTAAAAGCAAACCAAGCCTGTTGTCAAGTTAATAATTTCCTGTTTCTGCTGTACTAAGTTATAAATATATGAATATGCTGCTAAGCTTTAAAGCAAATTATTTGGGTTTTAGCCCTCCAGAGAGAACTGTTTCTTTCCAGAAGAAAACTGTGTGCCTGCTTGCCTGAGTTCTGTATCCCCACACAGCAATTATCCTCATCAAGAGGAACCAGAAGGTGGGGACATAATCTTTTTGCTCATTGTTTTGTGACCTTTCAGAATACAAAATGTAAAACAGAATCTTTGATTTTCTACCCCCCTCTTTAGGCTGCTGCTGGCACAGGGGGCAGTGGCAGCCCTCAGGAGAGGTGCAAAGAAGCCCAAGGAGCCTAGGTGAGGACATCAGCTCTTCTTGCACACGTGTGCCATGTTTCCTCATCCAGCAGAGCTGTGGAGCAAGAAACATTGTCCCTTTGTCACCCCCCTTTTGTCTACACCATGCTGTTTGGTTGTTTCCCCTTGAGGCTTTGTCTAGACCTAACACTGCCCTCAGGTTTCTCAAAAAGAGCTGGAGCTTTGGGGGTCCCTTTGTCACCCCCCTTTTGTCTACCCCATGCTGTTTGGTTGTTTCCCCTGGAGGCTTTGTCTGGACCGAACACTGCCCTCAGGTTTCTCAAGAAGAGCTGGAGCTTTGGGTGAGGACACTTCACTGAGGACACCCTTCAGCCTCAGCAGGGCAGCTGGAGCCCACTGGCACTGGGGATGTGTTTAACTATGACAAGATATTCTGAGCTAACCACAGACAACAGCACATGAGCAGCTAAGGAGGGAATGGATGTTAAAGATTAAAGTTTTGGGCCCCTCACTATATGAAAGACATGGAGGTGATGGAGCACATCTGAAGAAGGGCAATGAAGCTGGTGAAGGGTCTAGAGGACAAGTCCTGTGAGGAGCAGCTGAGGGAACTGAGGTTGTTTAGCCTGCAGAAGAAGCCGTGCTTGCTCTCCACAACTCCCTGGAAGGAGGTGGTAGCCAGGTGGGGGACAGTCTCTCCGCTCAAGGAACAAGATAGGATGAAGGAAAATGGCCTCAAGTTGTGCTAGGGGAAGTTTAGATTGAACATTAGGAACAATTCCTTCACCAAGAGGACTGTTAAACCTTGGGACAGGCTGCCCAGGGAAGTGTCACCATTCCTGGAGCTATTTAAGAGACATGTAGAAGTGGTGCTGAGGGACACAGTTTAGTGGTGGACTTGGCAGTGCTGGGTTAGCAGACTTGATGATCATGAAAGTCTTTTCCAACCTAAACAATTCCATGATTCTATACAATGGGTTTGTTTTTTCTTTTTTTTTAAAAAAAACATCCATGCTGGCACAAGCAGCAGCTGCTAGAGTGCAGGAGCATCCAGTGGGGCCAGCCTGCAGTGGGCTAAGTATCCCTTCCACACCTAAAAACTGCCTTTCAGTGATGGAGAGTAATGCCAGCTCCAGTTAAAAGGGAAAAGTTTGGAAAATAAGGACTACTGCTCATCCTCCTGGGTGCTGTTAGATCCTTTCACTTCAAAATGCCTTGACTCAGCTGGATCATCCCCAGAGAGGTGGCAGCTGAGTTGCTGCATGCTGAGATCATCCACCAAGAAAATGGGATGGGGAAGAGAAGGACACAAAGATGCCTGGGCAAGAGCCAGGTAACAGAGGCTCAGGCAGCCGTGGCTGAGAGGACAACTGGGGCAGGAGGGCAGGGAGGCAGCCCAGGCCTTCCACAAAGCAGGGTGAGGTGCAGGGCAGCAGGCATCTCCTGGAAAGACACCAGAGAGCCTGGAGTAATGAAGGTACAACATTTGCAGGATGCCAGAGCTAAAGCCAGCTGCAGAGAGACACAGAAGCAGCTTGTGGCAGTGGGCAGCCAGGTAAGCAAGTGATGGATGAAGGGGAAAAGGGTGCCTAGGAGAGGAGCTGGGGGGACTATGCACACACAGTGCTGGGCACTACCCTGGCACCACTGGGGGTGGTTCCCTGAAAATGTCAGGCTGAGGTGCAGAGGCTTGGAAATATGTGGAAAACAAAAACACCCAGGAAAAAAAAAACCCTGCTACAATCTTGCTGGAAAGAGGGCTGGCATCCCCTCTGCCTGAGCTGGATCTCCAGCACCTCCTGCTGCCTTCTGTGCAGCAACTCACCAGTCAAGGCAAACGGGTGCTTTAGTCCCCATCTTGATAATGGAAGGTGATGCTGCACCAGCTCCTGAGTAGAAAAGTGACCAGCTCAAAATTTCACCAGTTTCTAATCTCTTTCCTGGATCTATTAAGGGAAGAAGAGGAAATGTTATAAGTATATTGGACAGCATTTAAAAAGGGCTGAAACAAAGTGAGCAGAGCAAATCTAACACCTTGACCCAAGGCCTCGGGTTGTCCTGCTGCTGCAACTGGCCTGGCCCTGTCAGGTTGTTCATGAGGGCAG